GTCCCCTGCCGTCACTGTGGTTTTGGTTTTAATGAGAGAAGAATCGGTGTACAAAGTGCTTTAGTTTCCCAGCGAAGCCTCTGCGTTTGTTTTTTCCAGCCTCTGCTTGTGTGCAAGGCAACACACAGTGGTTGTGCCGCATGCCAAGAGGAGAATTGTTCTCTGCCTTGAGAATCAGTTAGCTGGGTGGTGGAGGCACACACCTTTAATCCCCGCACTTGAGTCCAGAACAGCCAGGCTACACGAGAAAGCCAAAGGAAAAGAATCATTTTAGTAATGGGGTCAAGATGTCTATGTATGGGGCGGGGGCGGTGCCTCAGTGGTTGGGAACAGTAGCCCATCTTCCGGCAGAGTTAAGCTTGATCCCAGCTCCATACTAGGTGGCTCCTAACTGCCTGTAACTCTAGCTCTAGGTTATCTATTGCCTCTGCAGGTACCCATGCATGTGTGCATAATCACCCACAGACAACACACACACACACACACACACACACACACACACACACACACACACACACACACGTCTCTCGTCTCGTAAGACCGAGAGTGGGTAACTCCTGTGAGGAAAGCTAGATGAGGCTGTGGCCGGGGGAAGAGGAGAGGAGGATCGTGGGGGATCTGTGAGATGAAGGGTACATACAGTGTGGGTTGTGGAAATAGGTAGGAGAAGGGCAGGGGGTCCAGGCAGGAGGGCTACTAGGAGCACAGCCAGGGAGGCAGACAGCTTCCCTTCTTCCCTGCGCCTATACTCCACCATTATTCTTCAGGCTCTAGGAGTCTGACTGCTTCAGATGCTTCCTGTCCGTGTTCTTGCCATCTGTGACTAGACTGCTTTCCCTAAGTGAGAGAACTCACTATGTAGCCCAGGCTAGCCTTGAGTTAACTTTTCATTATTTTTCAGTGTGTGTGTGATGTATGGCACAAGAGTGCAGGTACCCACAGAGGCCAGAGGTGTTGGACCCTGCCCCTGGAGCTCAAGTTACAAGTAGTTATGGTTGTGATCTGCCCAACGTGGATGCTGGGATTGAACTCAGGTCCTTTGCAAGGAGCAGCAAGCACTTCTTCTGCTGAGCTGTCTGCCTAGTCCCTGGCCTTGAACTCTGATCCTCGGCCCTTGGCTTAGCCTCTGGACTGCTGGGATCACAGGGTGTAGCACCATGCCAGCTGTATCCCTGGCTCTTGCTGTCCTCCCGTCCTCCCACCCCTCTGCCGCTGCCGTTTTCCCTTTGCACTGGCTGTTTTTCTGTTGCTGTAGTTTAGCTACCTGTCAAGAATTTGTAGGGGAGGCTGAGCTGTCTGCCGTTTCTGCCTGCCTGCCCAGGGACTGATACTGGACAAATGCAGAGGCAGGTGACTCCCATGTGGGCCTGAGGGACTATCTGTTCAAGTGCTTGGATGTCAGATTTACCACTGAACCAATTACTAGTGTTAGACTTCGGTCTCAGCTGAAGAAAGGGGACCTTTCTTGCCTGCAGAAAGGGGACTGTGACATGTGAGTCACAGGGCCGTTGTCAGCAAATGCTTAAAGCAGGTTTGTTCTTTAGGTTTCATCGTGTGAGCCGCTTCTGTTTGGGTCATCAGCATTGTAGAAGCTAACGAGAGTCCCCTTTGAGTAAAGAAATAGACGAGCCGCAATTAGAGATGTGAAATCAAATATAAAATCCCATATGTCGTGGGGAAGGGTTTAGCCAGCACCATCCAGGAGAAATTTGTGAGGTGTGTGTAATTTTAACTCTGTAGACACACTGTAAGGTAATAAAATATTAATAAATTATTTATTCCGGTGTATTGGAAGAATTAACATTTTCATATATCAGTATAAAAAGTATAGATTACTTTTTATAGGAACCATTCAAATATGGTAGTTTATAAAACACCTCAATTTGAATACATAGTTTTGAGTATTTGGTCTGTACTTACCTTTCTTTAAATTTATAGTTGACAAAGTAGACTCACAGATCCAAGTTGTTCTAAGCATATCTAAAGGTTTTCTAATAATTGAATCTCATAATTGAATATCTTTTTTAAAATTCATTACAATTTGCCTGATAGTGGTACATTTAATCCAAGCACTCGGGAGGCAGAGACAGGCGGATCTTTGTGAGTTTGAGGCCAGCCTGGTCTATAGAGTGAGTTCCAGGACAGCCAAGACCATGAAGAGAAACTGTCTCGGAAAAAGAAAATGACATTGCAATTGATAAAAGCGAAATAAAATTAAATACTTAAATTTTTAGTCAAGTTTTTTAAGTGCTTAGTAGCCACATGACGCTGGAAGCTGCTGCCATTCACGGCGTAAGCTTGTGTAAGTATGGAACGCATTCCGGGTGTGAGAGACCTTTAAGACATAGGATTCAGGAAGGCTTCCTTGAAGAAAAACATTTAATTGGACTGTGGGCAGTTAGAATTTGGATGCAAGGAGAGAGGTAGAGAGAGAAAAGAGTGAGAGACAGAGACATTCACCATGGGCACATTTAGTCAGTCATTCATTCCTGTTCATAACCTTGATCCCATAGTCAGGAGCGGTTACTTTTTTTTTTTTTTTTTTTTGAGATTCTCGTATAGCCCAGGCTAGTCTCAAACTTGGTGTTGCAGTGGAGGATAGCTTTGAATGCTTGATCCTGCTGCCTGCAAGGGTTCCAGCGTGCCACCATGTCTGGCTGTTAGCGCTCAGGAAGAATTTTGGAACAAGAAAGTAACATGACCAGTAGGGGCGTTATTGAGTATGGGTTAGAGGAGGAAGACCCAGGTAGAATCCCAGAGTCCCGGTAGAGAGCACAGAGATTGGGAGGAGAAACAACAGGGCATGAGAATCTGCAGGTGACTTGTTTAGCGGCCTCCTCAGCAATAGAGAGCCTTTGTTCTTCTCTGTGGCTCTTGATCCTGACTGTTTTACTTCAGCCTGATTCAAGGTTGATGGAATTCCTCCTAGGGTGGAGATGGGAGGGCCTGAGAACTCGGAAGGGCCATCTTGAATTCTGTCCTTTGTGTTCTTTGTGTACTTCCCGTCAGAGATGAAATAGATAACACCAATGATTGTGCAAGGATTTGGCGCTATGGTGGTGGTCGGCCTCTCTCTGTCCTCTGTCGGCTTAGGGGTTCTCTGTAATCTTGGAACAAGGCCCAGGAGACCTTTCACAGTGGTAATCTGGATGCTTTCATGCACTGTCTCAGGCAGACGCTGGGATTCCCGGGCGTCCCCTGCTTCAAGCCAGGACAGTCTCTGAATGGGGCCAGGGCTTTCTTTCAGAAATCCTAATTCCTCATCCTTTTCATCTGAAAGGTCCTGAGTTCTGCTTTTTGGTGTGGCTTGGTCAGAAGGCCACGTTTTGTCAGGGCAAATCTGCTAATGTGAGTGTTTGGCCATGTGTGGTTCTCCTGGAAGACACGAATCAGATTTTCCTAAACTCTGTATTTTTTCCATCCCTCCTGAAATCAGCCTCCTGTTTTGTTCTGTTTCTTAATTTAATCCTGGGACAGAGTAGTGATTTTCCCCACTAGTTTATTTGAGCCCATGCCTGTGGTGGTTAGTGCATCGTGTAGCTTCAGGGGCCTGGTGCTGCTCCGTTCTGTAGTACAGAGTTCCTGGTTGATGAGGGACTTGACTGGGCTCCTTCCTCTGTGGTGCCCCCTTTCTAGCCAGCAGAGGGAGGAAGAGTGTGGAGAGAGCATATCTTTAGCTCTTGACCCAGCCATCCCTTCCTGTCATGTGACAGTAGCAGGAGCACCTGGGAGATGAAGTTCCAAAACCCATCTACACTGTGGCTGGAGTGCTAGTCTCTGGGCAGCTCTACATCTTCCTCATGTTCACTTTGTTCCATTTAGGAGAGAAGACCAATGGCAGGGCATTGAGTACTTCAGTGTTTGGGTGTAGGGAGCTTATGTCTGTTCTCAACAACGCGTGGTGTTTTCTGTGTATAGACATCCAGACACTCAGTTTCACTTCTCTTGAGAATTTCATGTTGTCTGAGGCATGTTCCAGATACGATGCTTATAGGCCTGAGGGGTGGGGCTGGGGGAGATGCTTCAATGTGGGCTCCAGTAACTTTAGTCTTGATGTCTTGGCATTCGGGCATTAGTTGTCCTTGCCCTGGTGTTGTAGGAGCTGCGGTGGGCTGCGTTCCCACCCAGCTCCACATGGCTAGCTTTACTCGAAATAATTACACGGAAACTGTATTCTTTTGAACATTGCCTGGCCCATTAGTTCCAGCCTCTTATTGGCTAACTCTCACATCTCGATGAACCCATTTTTAATAATCTGTGTAGCCCCACGAGGTGTGGCTTACCAGGAAAGATCTTAACCTGTGTCTGTGTCAGGTGGGAGAATCATGGCGACTGCCTGACTTGGCTTCTTTCTCCCAGCATTCTGTCTGTCTACTCCGCCTACCTAATTTTCTGTCTTATTAAAGGGCCAAGGCAGTTTCTTTATTAACCAATGAAATCAACACAAAACAGAAGACTCTCTTGGCCAAAGGCTTGAGTTGTGGATTGTGTGGTTATTGAAGGTGGAGGTCTCTGGGGCATATCTGTATAGTCCTTGTTCCTTCTGAGTTTATAACCCATTTGTACTGTACATATTATACGTAGTTCAGAATTGGAGAGGGCTTTTGAGTCAGGCCAGAGTTCAAATCTTTCCTCCCTCATCTGTAATGGCGAGTCCTCTGGCGAAAGGGAGTAATTGGCTACTGTGAGCTTCAGTTTGCTTTTTCCCTCTGTAGCTGGGGGAGGTGGTTCCTTCTGGACCTGCTGTGGTATTTGGAGGAAATTAATACAGTCATTGGCAGCAAATAGTGATTGAGCCAAATCCTCAGCCAGTGTTCTCTGTCTCCATCATTCAGGATCCGCAGATGCGGGAGACTACTGCAAGCTGGAGTCGGGAAGGAAGCGCTGTGTCAGAGGCTTCTGGAGCTGGGTTTTGAGAGATGACTAAGGTTCTGTCTGTGGTTTGTAGGTGTGCTTTGTTTATGTTGTTGGAGTTAGTCGCCAGCATCTAGAAGTTGGGGGGTTCTCATGAACACTCGCAGTTCTAGCTTTCCTGAATACTGAAGGCAGGCATCGTGTGGCCCGCAGCCCAGCGTGGAGGCAACGTGAGCGAGCAGCTGCTCTGTGTAGAAGATACCCGTCCTGCCTGCCTGCTGGCCTCCTGCGGTGCTGTAAGCACGTGGGTTGGAAGCCTCAGCTGTGAGAAGTCCCCTCCAGCTCTTTTCCTGTTTCCTGCCCCTGCTAGGACACATCAAAAGCACAGTGAACTGCAGGGCTGTGTTACTTCTGGAGGCTTCAGGAGTACCCACTTCCTTGGTTTTTAGCTCCTCTGGTGACTTTTGTTTCCTGGCTCACGGTCTCATCCTCCTTGTTGTAGAGCAGGCTAAGGTTCCCCGGGCAGAGGGAGAAAGCTCCTCCGTTCATTCGGCACTGTTGGTTGGGGACCCACTGCATGGTACCTGTTCTGTGCGCGGGGACAGCTGTGAGCACTCTGATCTTGAGGGGCAGTCTGGGGGAGGCACGAAGGACTAAGCATAAGTATAGAGTTTCCCTGAGAAAAAGCTGCTTCTGCACAGAGCAGAGTGTTCAGAGTGACCGGGTGGCTGTGTTGTTTGGTGGTTCAGGCAGTCTCGCTGTGGCGATGACATTCAGCCCAAATGTGCTGATGAGAAGGCACTGGCTGGGGTGGTTAGGGAGCCCAGGGGACAGCAGGGCTTGGTCAGGTGGTAACCTGGGAACTGGACTAGGATTTGCATTTGATCCTAAACACGGCAGGCAGCCATTAGAGAATTTGAAGGAGAGTTCAATAATGGTAATAAGGTATGTTAATATTAAAAATGTACATGTGCTTGAAACGCTCGGAGTGTTTGAAGTGTGGGCTTTGGGGCAGTGGTCAGGTGGAAATGATGAGGCTTGGGCCTGAGTCCTGCTATGGGAAATGCAGAGCGGTGGGAAATTCCGGAGGAAAAGCCAGCGCTGTGTCTGCTTCTGTGCGTCTTCTCCTTAGCCTGTTCTGGGAAGAATGTGCCTGGGCTCTGCCAGCTTCATGACGGGGAAGAGCACACGCCAGGACTCTGCTCTCTGGCCTCCTAAGCCTTCATTGTGAGGTAATGCTGCTGCCAGCCCCGCTAGCCATGTCCTCCTGGCTTGTTGACCACTTAGGTCATGTCTGGTTCTTGCCCCAGGCCTTGTCTGGGTCCCAGACGAGACATCTGCTGGAGAAATCTGTCCCCCACCTTTCTGGTGGGGACTGGATGGGACCTGTGGTCTCCTGCGCACTCCCTCACCCTCAGGCTTGCCCACAAAGTAACGGGGTCACATTGGATCCCTATGTCTCTGAGAGAGATCTAGAGTCATTAGCATTGTCAGGGCTGGAGGGCTCCATCCAGGGAGCTATGATGTCAGCGGAGAACATCCTTGCTGAGAGGATGAGTTATTTGTTAGCTTTGTTGCCCTGGTTCCTCAGATGCTTCCTAAGATGGGCTAGCAGTCTCTTCTGTGCACATGCATAGGTTCCAGGGGCTGCTGAGGCTAACCCGGTATTCTGTCTGTCCTTCCCAGTGGGCCTAGGAAAGATGTTGTTTTTGTCCTCTCTGGTGCCACTTTCTCCGTAGCTGTTTTTTACAGGCTTTTTTTAATTATTATTATTTTTTTTTTAAATTAAGATGCCACTGCTATCCTTGGATTTGCTCTGTAGTCCAGGCAGGCCTTGAACTTAAGATCTTCCTGCCTCGACCTCCTGAGATCTGATGGAGGCCTGTGTCACGAGGCCGGGTGCTCCCATGCCTCTCTTCTAACAGCCTTTTACCCCGCAGTCACTGGGTTAATGAATAAGGATTCTGCCATGTCTTCTGTCTCTGCAGTCTAGTGATGGTCTTTATGCTTTGTCGGCTGTGTGTGCTCTCTTGAGTTTGATAGGGGAATGACACACTTCAGAGATGAGGAGTTGGGTGAGACACAGAGCTCGGACCTGGGCTGGGCTGGGTGTGGTCGGTGGCTCCTGCTTCCTGTCTCACAGCAGGTCCTTTGAGCAGCTCCCTGAGTCCCAGAAAATGGTGACAGCAGCTTTGGTGAGAGGGCAGACAGCAGGAGAGGAACAGGGTAATTTCTCTGAAGTTGTCCTGACTGTCCCCAAAGACTCTGGGCTCTGGCCAGAGGCCCCGTTCTCTATCCTAAGGTCCTTCCCTCCCTCTGGGGTCTGCCATTCATGTAAGCCTGTTTCTTGACTCATGATTCTCCTGCCTCAGCCTCTTCAGTGCTGACATTGCAAGCGTGTGCTAGCATGCCCAACATTGTTTACCGTGCTAAGTCCTTCAGCATGGGAAAAATCAGCTGCTGGTGGAAGGAGACTCAGTTCTGGATGCAAGTGGAGCTGACCTTGGATCCTGGTCTACTCACTACCAGCTGGACAGAGGGCAAGCTACTGACAGATTGTCTTTTTGAACCTTAGTATATTAGTTAGTTGTCTTGCAAAAAAAAAAATATCTGACAATAGCTACTTATGGAAGGAAGGGCTTGATACACTCCTTCATGGCAGGAAAGATGTGGCCATAGGAACACGGTTCATAGAGAGATACAGCTGCTTAAGGAAGGACTTGAGAATACACTCCACCATGGCAGGAAGGGCGTGGCCACTGGAGCATGAGGCGGCTGCTCACATTGCATCTGCAGCTGGAGGCAGAGAGAGATGAATGTGGGTGTTGAGCACACTTGCCCCTTTTTATTCAGCCTGGGACTCCAGCCTATGGAATGGTGCCGCCAACAGTTAGGGTGGGTGGGTCAGTCTACCATAATTAGCCTGATCTTAGTCCTCCCTCACACACATGCCCAGGGTTTGTCTGCTAGGTGGTTCTAGAGCCTATCAGTATCAGCCATCACGCTCTGTTGCTCTGTTTTCTTGCTTGTCTTTGCTCTGTTCCTAGAGAGTCCTGAGGATGAGAGATACTGTGTGGTAGAAGGTAGCCTAGCATAGGCTTCAAAGTTGAGGTTCTGGGGCTGACTGCCCAAGTTCAAATCCTGCCTTTGCTATTTACTTTGTGCCAGTTACATGAACACTGCTTCTCTGGCTGCCACATGGTGGTTTCTCACACCCCCGGTACCTTCCACCCCCTTTCCTCACAGAGGCAGGGGGATTCTCAGCAGAGGGGCCTGGTTTTGCTGGAGCCCCTTGGATCAGAGGAAGTGCTTCCTCTGATTGCCTGACAGGAAGGGGCGGACCTATGTGGGAGACTGATACCACCGCAGAGGGGATACAGACAGGATGTTCAAGGAGTGACTTATTAAAACAGAAATGCAGCTCCACTTTCCAGAAAAATAACAGATGCCCAAATGTCAGAGGCAAGGGAGGGAGAAAGCGATCAGTGTTTGTAAGATCTTATTGAGGGAAGCAGTTTTGAGCCAGTTCTCTGTACTTGCTTTGTTCCTCAAAGGGCGCTGTGCAGTCAAAGGCTACAACTCTGTAGCCTTCAGTCCGTTTCTCACAGTGTGTGTGTTAACTTTTGTTGTTTTGGTTTTTGAGACAGGAGTTTGCTGTGTAACCCAGGCTGGCATCAAACTTGAGATCCTTTTGCATCAGTGTTGGCATTACAAGTATGTGCCACCATGCCTGGCTAGTTTTGAAAAGATGTTTGGTTTGGGTTTCTATGTGTACCTTTGGCTCTATGAGCAGTGGTACCGGGAACCCTCCAACTTTGTGATACCCACAAGCTTTAGCACACGGCATGAGCAGCCAAGGTCCAACTCTCACCTTTTTTTTTCCAGAGTGAGTACATTGCGCCCTGTGACTGCCGGAGGGCTTTTGTCTCTGGATTTGATGGCTCTGCAGGTGAGTTCCTGAATTTTCTGTTTTTACTTTGTCTTTTTTTTTTTGTTTTTGTTCCCCTCCCAAAGTAACTGAATTGTGTTTCAGCCTTTGCTATAGAACCAAAAATAAGATATAAATTGGACATTCCCCAACTGAGCCAGTGCAGGATGGCATAGGTTCCAATTTCCCTGGCTCTTCAGTGTCACCTTTTAGTGACCGTCTGTTCTTTTCTATGTCTTTGCTTTTTCAAACAAAGCAAAACAACCTTCTACTATAAGGAGCGGTTTTGAACTTTGTACTGCTTCTGACAATACACACAGAAAAGAGTATTAATTAAATTGAGCATGGCTGCCTAGGTAGTGTCCCAAACATGAACTGCGAGCTTCTAGCTTCCTGGCCCTGTGAAGTTCTTTGAGTAAGTCCTCCACTGCTGAGTCTCCGTGTTCAGTGGCGTTAGATTGCAGTGGATAATGTCGAGCTCCCTTGGTGTTAGGCCTTAACTTTCCCAAAGCTGTTTCACTCTTGACTTTTTGGGTGATTTCCCCTTTGGGCTCCTATCCCTTAAACAAACTAGATGAGGTGGGAGCCCCTCTCAACTTGTGGTTCACCTCTGCTTCCTTTGGCTTAAGTGCTTGTGTTGGTTGGCACATCTGGGTTGGTTTTGGCCGTCACCTCTGCTGAAAGCTCCCAGGGCTGCCAGGTCTGTGGGAACTGAGGGTGAAGAGGTGGGAGGCATGGACTTTCTGCTGCTGCCTGCTGAGTCACTGTGGACATGTACGGTCCGGGTTGCTGCTTCTGGGGGAAGTGCAGCAGCTCTCTGAGGGTTTCCATTGGAGCAGAACCTTTCCCACCCAGTCTTGTTGGTTATGAGATTGGCTGCATGGTCCTCTGTTTCAGCCTTGACTCGGGCCACACGTGTGCAGAGATCAGCATCCTGGTAGTCCCGGCCTCACGACTGCTTCCCGCAGAGCCATGGCATCATTGTCTTACCCGGATGTTGCCTTGGGGTCTAGGACCCCTGCCCCAGTGAGAGCAGGTGTTCCTCGCTTTCCTGGCTGCCTACCGCCATGTTCTGTACAGATTCTCAGCGGTCAGAGCTGGTCTTTTCTTGCTGCTTTTCTCTAGGCACAGCCATTATCACAGAAGAGCATGCGGCCATGTGGACCGACGGGCGCTACTTTCTCCAAGCGGCCAAGCAGATGGACAACAACTGGACTCTCATGAAGATGGGTGGGTAGACGCATAGACTGACTAACCTGCCTTTTGTGATTGGCCCTGTCTGGGCAGGGGTGGAGTGCTTCCGGCATCTAGGATCTTAATGTTTTTTTCTGACATTTCCAATCCTTTGAAAAGCCAAGGAAAACCAAAAAGTGGTGTGCCTCTGTGTGCGTGTGCCTCTGTCTGCATGGGTGTGTGCCTCTGTGTGCATGTGTACATGTGCCTGTGTGTGCATGTGTGCGTGTGCCTCTGTGTGCGTGTGCCTCTGTGTGCGTGTGCCTCTGTGTACATGTGCCTCTGTGTGCACACTAGTGCATGCTCACTGTTGAGGGATCCCAGGTTCATTTTGCTGACAGCAAACTGACTCTGGGCTCCCTGAGCTATGGCTGTAAGGTGTGGTAGCCCTGAGGGGTCAGAGCAGCAGAAGAGCGAATCCTGTCTGCCTGTTAAAGTGGTACTATGTCAGCTGCATGACACGGAGGGATCCTTATCCCTCCTGGGCGCTCAAAAAACTGTCTCCCCAGATATTGTTTGATTGCAGAAACACTGGCTTACTGAAATAATTCTGTTTCTTTCTGGAATGGTTTAGTTCCTTATCACAGTGTTGTGGAAGTGAGAGGCCGTCCACTGTTGTGCTTGGGAGTTCCAGGGCTGCAGCGGGCTCCTGTGTGCCCATCCCTCTTGGGATCTTCCCTCAGAAAGATTTCTTTGTAGCCAAGACTTAGTCTCGGTCCTTTCATCAGAGGCTGGCTGTGGGCAGGGGCTTTGCTCTTTGGTCTTGGCCTTGGAGGTGAAGAGAGGCACTTAGCAGTTCTGTCCTCTAGGTTTGAAGGACACACCAACTCAGGAGGACTGGCTGGTGAGTGTGCTTCCAGAAGGATCCAGGGTTGGTGTAGACCCACTCATCATTCCCACAGGTGAGTGATCTGGTTCTAGACTTCTCTGTGTCCTCCTTTTTGCCTTGGATCTGGGGCACTTGGGGCTCAATGTGACTTGATTACAACCAAGACTCAGCTGGCAGATGTTTCTGGGACAGAGGCAGGGGAGGCCATGGTGGCAAAGTTCTTCATTTTGCGTGCCTGGCACTCAGGAATGTCTTCCAGAAGGGCCTGGCCAAGGCTCTGCTGTTTGCCTTAGAAGAGACAGGTGCTTGTTTCATGACTGGCTATGTGCTTTTCTTCAGATTACTGGAAGAAGATGGCCAAGGTACTTCGAAGTGCTGGTCACCACCTCGTACCTGTGAAGGAGAACCTTGTGGACAAAATCTGGACAGACCGGCCAGAGCGCCCTTGCAAGCCCCTGCTCACACTGGGCCTGGATTATACAGGTCAGAGCTATAACTGTGACCCTGTACTCTGGCTTGCCAACCCATCTTGTCAAAGGTCATATTAAGATCCTGTCATCATGGAGTTGGTAGGCCACATGTATGTAGTCATGTCTCTCACACAGGCCTTTAGCATGAGCACAGTATCGTGCCTCACCCGGTGGAGAGGGCCATTGCCAAGGCTGGGGCTTTGCTGCCTGCTGCATGCGCACCTGCTTGTCTGGTTAGCCTGTCTTTGCAGTGCTCCTCTGGGCGTCTTTGTAGGACCTGGGAGGTGACTGAAGCTTTTCCATGGCTGCCCACTGTCACTCTTCTGGGTCTGGTACCGGGAGCAGCATCTAGTGACGCCAGCTGCTTATTCTCCATGCTGGCGTTTGCAGGGTGGCCTTGTGGCCTCACTGTCTGTACCTATGCTGTGAAGCTTAGATGTGCTTGTTTCCTTGGCCCGCAGCAGTGGGGAGCCGTGTAGTCTGTGAACCTGTTCAGGAGTATGGATTGGAGGGGACATGAAGGACAGAGGGAGAAGGCTGGAGGTGGGGCTTCAGGGGAGGGAGCCCTGCAGTAGAAACAGGGAGGTGGACGGGGGACATCTGGAATGTAGGCAGATTGCCAGAGGGGTCCTGGGAAGAAAGTATCACTGCTCAGACACCGGGCCAAGTTTTAAACAGCATTCCTGGGCTAATCTTCAAAGCAGCCGTTGGTTCTGGGCAGCCCCAGGCTTGCTTTCCTGCGGGACACCCTCACTGGGTGTGGTTTATTGGGGAGGGTGGGTACAGCGAGTGACCCACGGTCAGCTTAATATTTTCCATCAGCACGGTTAAAATTGTTTATTAACTGTAACAGAGCCTCTGACCTATTACTGTAGGAGAAGAGATCTCAGATATGCTGCCAAAATTTCTGTTTTGCAAACAATTGCGTGCCTGCTATGGGCAGGACACTGCTAGGTACCACACAGGTGTGTCCATGCTCTTCATAGGGAGCTAGTGAGGAGCCAAGTTACAGATGCTACCGTGGTGAGCTGACGTCCTCTGGGGCCACATTGCATTCTGGGGGCAGCAGGAAGGCCTTGGCTGTGCCTAACTGGGCCAGTATAATTTGGAAGTTATATCCACAGTGAGTTAGGTTGCAGGAGGCTCTTTGGTCATAGCACCAAGTCTCAGGGCTGAAGAAATGTAAAGTGAGTTTCACAGGCAAGATCTCTGTGCCGGAGAGATTTGTATGTATTCCTATAGCTCAGTAGACCAGCATTGAGAAGTAGAGCACTTAATTGTTGATCTACCTGCATGCATCGCCTTGTAGCTCCTAAGTCCAAAGAGAGTAAGGCCTGGGTCTTTTCAGAGCCATAACTGCATTGAGCAGCAGGAACCCCGGTAGATACCTTTGCTTGGCAAGTGTAGGTGCTTCACAGATGCCGTGGGACACACACACTGTACCGGGGAGGCGGTCAGGGCTCACGATAGGCAAGGTGCTTTGCAGAGGCATTTATTTCTCTTCTGTGGATTCAATCTCGGCTGCCTGCTGTGCTGGTCGCATGCTCACTGTAAGAATGGTACTGCCTAAGTGTCTGGCACAGGCCCTCTCTGCGGCCTCCGTCTTCACGGGATCCCAGCTGAAGTTACAGCGTATTTGTTTCTTGCAGGCATCTCCTGGAAGGAGAAGGTTGCAGACCTTCGGTTGAAAATGGCCGAGAGGAACATCGTGTGGTTTGTGGTCACTGCCCTAGATGAGATTGCGTGTGAGTTCTCTGGTTTCAGTGCTTGGGAGTTACCTGATCTCGTCCCTGGGCCTCTGGGAATCTATGTGCTTTCTGAATGGTGAGGGAATTTGTAAGAGACCGTGTCTCCAAACGAGAGAGCAGATGCCAGTTAGCCAGTGGAGAATGCATCACCGTGAGGTGGGCAGGGGATCACAGACGCCACAACCAGCAGTCCACAGCCAGGAGCTGTGGTGAATCCAGGTGTGTGCCTACCTCTGGCCCGTCTCTTGGGATTGTGGTCTCTGAGGAAGAATTTCTTCTGAACGTTTCCTGTGTCGTTCTTTCTTTATGCTTAGGTAGTTTCCTAATGTATTCAGAGAAAGAAACTTCTAGTAAAGTTTTTACCTCAGAAAACTCAAGAACTGAAAATTCTTCTCAAGGCCCTTTCCCTTAGTCTTCAGAGCTTCCCCCTCCTGTCCCGGGTTATTGTTCATAATCTGAAGGAATCTGACGGAAATGCTCCCTCCTGTCTCATTTTGACTGGATTTGATTCAGGGAAGCTCAGAAGAGGCCCCTGTGCCGTGTCTTCCCACTGGAGGAAGAAAGCCCACTCCACATGCCCTGCCTCTTCAGTCTGTCAGACTTTGTCAGATGTCAGTGATTGCTGTCTCTAATTAACCCAGCACCAGAGGAAACACACACACACACACACACACACACACACACACACACACACACACACACGGTTTCTCCCCTTCAATTTAAGAAAAACACATCCCATTATGGAAACCTGCAAACTACAGAGGGTAGAAGAAAGCCAAAATCACTCATGATCCTGTTACCTAGTGACAACCATTGTTGATGTTTCTGTGTGTCTGTCATTCAGCCTGGTGTTCTAAATGTGTCAGTATGCTAGGAACAAATATAATCGTAATTTAAGCTTTAAAAATTCCATCAAATGGTTATACGACAGTCTGCCTAACAGTTTCCATATGGAGGGCCTTTGGGCTATTTCCAGTTTCTCTGTAATTTATTACGATCCTTCCATCACGATCGCGGCTCATACGTTATGTCTTAGTTTTTGATCATTTCGTCTTGTATTTCTGGTTACTTTTTAGGGATAGTCTTGTGAGTTTAAGGGTGACTGTGTGGGAGGACTTTCGACCCATCCATCCTGTCACACCTCAGCAGCTCCAACTACCTTCATTTAAAAAGGAGCTGGTAAGCCCAGTTTGGTGGTGCACTTGGGAGGTAGAGGCAAGTGAACCTCTGTGAGATTGAGGCCAGCCTGGTCTACATAGCAAGTTCCACGTCAGCCAGGGCTGTACAGAGAGACCTTGTCTCCAAAAACTAAAAAAACAAAAAGGAGTCAGTATGAGAGGTAAATAGATGCCTTTCTACTTTGCTTTGAGAAATGATTTTTTTATTTTATTTTATTTTTTTTGAGAAAGGGTTTTTCTGTAGCTTTGGAGCCTTTTCTGGAACTAGCTCTTGTAGACTAGACTGGCCTCGAACTCACAGAAATCCACCTGCCTGTGCCTCCCAAGTGCTGGGATTAAAGGCGTGCACCACCATCGCCCGGCTGAGAAATGATTATTTTAAAATGGAGGTAGCAACATTTTGTACTCGGCCCTTTTTGCTCTCTTACCTTCCCGAGAGCAAGCATTAGAGCTGGCAGCCAGGACCAGAGCTGTACTGTGTACTTGTCTATCAGGCTTCTCAAATGTGCTGTGACCTCATCAGACTCTGGCCCCTGGCTCAAGGCAGGTCCTCCGCCTAGCCTGGGAATGGCTCGCTGTAGCTAAGCTACAGGCTTGTGACTCACTGCTTTTCCTCTGCCTCTAATGAGAAGCTCTACATCCCTCGGGTCCTCTGCTCAGTGGAGCACCCCCTTCCTTCCCATTTCAGTTTTCTGTTCTAGGTCATTTGCCTTGGAATAGAGAGAATGCTTGTATCCTGGTTTTATTTTGGGAGGGGGGAGTTGCCAGAGTTTGTATGCAGCAGAGCTGAGCTTGGCAGGTCTCAACAACTTGGCTAGCTATTTCGGTGCTTTGGGAGAACACTGCTCATGGTTTTTGATCCTACTTCCTTCTCTGTCTTGCAATGTGGCCAACTAGAGAACAGTTCTGGTGCCATCAGGTGGCAGGCTCCAGCAGTTGCAGCCCAGTCTTGTTGAGAGATGTTGGATCCTTTGATAGCCACATCCTAAGCAGAAACTCTTCCTTTCCCCAAAAGCTACCTGCTAAACTTGACCTGGGAGCTAGACAGCTGACCAAAACCATTCTTAAGAAAATGCTTTCCTTTTTAGGGCTGTTCAATCTCCGAGGGTCAGACGTGGAGCACAATCCAGTCTTTTTCTCCTATGCGGTTGTAGGACTAGAGACCATCATGTAAGTGTTCGACTCCCACCTGAACTTCCTCCCCCGGCTCAGCTTTCTGTTCTTCACCCCACTGTCATGGCAGTGCGATTCCTTTCTCTGGAGCTCCCTTCACCCTGGCCTGCCTTAACAGGTGTTTGTTTTTATCCTGCCTTTCCTCTGAACCTCCAAATGTCTTGGAATCCACAAAGTATTTATAGTGAAGGAGACTGAGAAGTGAGTAGGTGAGGCTGCAGAACAAAGCCGCTTGAGGCTCTTTGAGAGGTTCCTGTTGCACAATCCCCCCAGGCCATGTTTGATCTCAGGTTTTCTGGAAGGCGGTGCAGAGGGAGCTGTGTAGACTCAGCTGTGCAGTTCTCGGTGCCAGTTATTCTGAGTCAGCGAGGATACGGGAAACCCTTGTGCTCTACTCTGTTGCCTTGTCAGTCTGTCTCTTCAGAGCACTGCTCGTAGGCTTCCTGGCGTTGCTTTCCTACTGTATGGGGTTCTAGTTCTTCTCTCTTGTGCTGAAGCACTGGCCCAAAGTTACTTATGGGAGGAAAGGACTTACTGCCTTCTACTTGCATGCCACAGCCCATCATTGAGGGGAGTCAGGGCAGGGACTCAGGAAGGAGCTTGAGGTAGGCTCTTGCTTAGCTGGCTTTCTTACACTGCACAGGACCACTGCCCAGGGAGTGGTGCCTCCTGCAGAGGGCTGGGCCCTCCGTATCCTTTGAAAACCAAGACAGCCCCCCAGAGACTTGCCACCGGCAATCCTTGTGTACAGTAGTCCCTCAGGCCAGATGCACGTCTCGGATGGTGGTAGGCTGTGTCAGGTGAGAGCTAGAACAGCTAGGGCAGGACCAGGCGTGCTGGCTCATATCTTTAATTCCAGTTCTTGGGAGGCAGAGGCTCTGAGTTTAAGGTCATCGTCGTTTACATATTCCGAGGACTGCCCAGTCTACAAAGTGAGACCCTGTCCCAAAAAACCCACCCACCAGCCAACTAACCAGCCAGCAACAATAGCAACCAACAACCACAGAACCATACTTATCTATTTTCTTTTTTACTTAATTGTTTAAAATAGTGGGCTTCATTAAAACATTCTTACACATGTATCATTGTACCTTGCTCAGATTTGGACATCCCGTTTATTGGATACAAACTGTGTTAGGGGCTGGTGTTAAGTGCTGGTATGAGTGGCAGGGTCCTGGGTTATAGTTGAGAAGTTGAGCTCTCATTTTCTTGAAGGACTCAGGCGCATAAATGGGACCGGCCCTTTAGGAGCCGATAGAAATGCATATGAAGAGGCCAGCTTAGATGTGTAAGAGGGGATGGTTGGCGAAAATTATATTGAATCGAAAATGAAGGGTAGGTGAGCTGTCTTGGTGAATGTTGGGGTGAGGAGGATTGGACAATAAGAGGGACACACAGAGGGAGCGGTATTGAGAAGCCGTGGCAAGGAGCAGTGTGTGGGGACATGGAGTCGTTCAGCTGGTCCCTGTGTAAAGTAAGGCCAGAAGATGAGCAGGAAGCACAGGAAAGGAAGTTACTCAGTGACCTGATGAGAAGGGACCCCACAGTCATGAAGCTAAATTGGAAAACGGGGTAAGCTGTAGAATAGGATGGAATCTGGAGGCTGAGAGGTGGTGGCGGCCCATTTCTGGGTGGTGATGGGCAAGGCTGCAGACAGCTGTACAGATGTGATGCGGATGTGGCTGGAGGTCTCAGGATGTTAATGCAGGTGGAGAGTGCGGAGAAGGGACATCAAAGCCGTGGACCAGTTGCTGGCCTAGAGAGTTGGATGGGATAGCCGGGTTTGGGGAGGCAGTGGAGAAAGAGGAGAAGCTGTTTGGTGTTGAGTACAGAGATGTGAGCCTAGTGTCTGTTCACGTTCTCATGTGTGGCCCTTGTCTGTGGTCCGCCCCTGGCCCCGGCAGGCTCTTCATTGATGGGGACCGCATTGATGCGCCTGCTGTGAAGCATCACCTGCTCCTTGACGTGGGCCTGGAGGCCGAATATAAAATCCAGGTGCTTCCTTACAAGTCCATCCTGAGTGAGCTCAGGACCCTGTGTTCTGATCTCTCCCCACGGGAGAAAGTGTGGCTCAGTGACAAAGCCAGCTATGCTGTCAGTGACGCCGTCCCCAAGGTAAGTGGCCTTGTTCAGGCCCGTCTCAACATGGTGGCCCCTTTGTGGTTCTGATGTCATACACAGCTGGAGCCCAGAGCTGGAGCCTAGAGTGCAGTGCGTGAGGCCCTTTAAACTCGTCCAGGGTGTGGCGTGAAAGGTGATCTTAGGTACTTAGGCACACATTGGTACTTAGGCTTACTTAAATATAGCTGTGTTCTCAGCAGTTACTGTAACTGGGGAAAAGCTCTAAGTAGTGCAGACAATGCTGTCGTGAAAATTCTTTCACATAAAGTACAGAACGAGTGAGGTGTGCAGGTGGTAAGTGGCCAGGGTGAAGGCAGCATAGGAACCTGAATTTTGGGGTACACTTCCCAGCACACACCTCTTTTCTTTCCCTATGTTTTAGATACAGATTCGAGGCCCAGAGAGGCTGGGGAGAGGAGGATTTGTCTTAAGAACAACACGTGGTTGTGGCAGCCCTGCCCTTCACTGAGCCCCTGCTGGGGACCGATCGGGACCTGTTGTTTCACTTTGTTTAGAATCTGGAGCAGGACTGAAACCCACACCCCTTCAGCTGCTCTTTCTCCTGTTGGGCCCTGGACCCTTGATAGATAAGAGGGCTTGGGCAAGCTCAGCCATGGGCTCTCTTGGCAGATCTGTCATCAGCAGGCCTGCCACTCACCTCCTCAGAGCTGAACGTCCGTTTCCTGAGGTGTGTGTGAGGACGGTGGTGTGGGCAGAGTGTGCAAGCTGAGAGTAAGCATAGTGATGAGTGGGAGAGCAGGGGTCCTTTTGCGGATGCCCCTCCACCCCCAAAACATCACGCTCCTTTCCCCAGCTCTGAGAGGACGGTGAGCTCCAGCCTGAGCTACGAGCAAAGAGCAAGCAGTGGAGGAAGATGCCCCATTTGATGTATTTAACTTATTTTGGGTGAGCTCCAGCTGTGTTGAGCATGCTCAGGGCATCAACCAAAGTGGCAGGCCTCCAGGATCCAGAGGACAGCTGCCGGGTCCCTAGTGGAGCTCCTCAGATGATTTGCCTCCAAGTGTGTGCTGTTCTGGCTGTTGAGCAGACTGTTTCTCATCTTCCTGTGCTGTGCCCTAGGATCATCGCTGCTGTATGCCTTATACACCCATTTGCATTGCCAAAGCTGTGAAGAACCCCACTGAGTCGGAAGGCATGAGGCGGGCTCATGTGAGTAGAGCAGCTGGTCCAGGAAATAGGATGGGGTGGTCAGAAGGGTCCTGCTCCCTCCTCATCTGTGAGGTCTCTCTGGATCTCTGTCCTTCTGGTCTTCCAGAGTCAGTGGGAGAATGAAATAAAACTATTATGTTGGGCATGCAGGCCTGTAATGAGGATTATGAATTTGACGCCAGTGTCAGGTGTACAGTGGACTCTGTCTCAAAAAACAAAAACAATAAAATTGGATGTGTTAACTTTTTATGAAGTGTAATACAAAATGCAAAGGAAGGAGGATGAAGACATGGTTCAGTGGCTAAGAGCACTGACTGCTCTTTTGGAGGGCCTAGGATTGATTCCTACATGCCATCCCCATAACTGTCAGTAATTGCATTTCCAGGGGTTCCGACACTCTCTTTTCGACTCTGGGCACTAGGCACACATGGTGCATAGCCATACATGAGGCAAAAAAACTATAAATGTTAAGCACACGATGCATAATGTGCGCGCGCGTGCGCGCGCGCGCACACACACACACACACTGTGAGGGGTCCTTGATGATAGTATGGGTAGTGAGGCTGTGGTGTATTGAGAAAGAAACAGTTTATGTAAAGCCAGGTCAAGGAAGCGAGATCTGAGGTTGGTGGAGGCTGGCCACAGCTCATCGCTCCTGGCCCATGCAGGGTGGAACTCACTGGTTAGAGGAGCTGCCCGTGTGCTCAGGTATGGCCACACCTGACTGTGCCTCAGTTTTTCTCTCCCAGTAGTGGGAAAGGCTTCCCGTAGAGGGCTTCTGGGAACCTGAGTGCCCCTGGATTGTTTGGCTCTGAGACACAGTCCTGGGAGGGTGGCTACAGGACTGGGCTCTGTGTCTGATCACTGACTCTCTGTTGTTCACGCAGATTAAGGATGCCGTTGCCCTCTGTGAACTCTTCAACTGGCTGGAGAAAGAGGTTGGTTTTTGTCCTTGTTGAACACGTGGTTCTAGAACACTCCTAGATATCAATACTCCTTGATAACAACCGTTACTCCTCTGGGCTCTTGTGGCTGAAGGCTTTAGTGTTCTCCTTGGCACTGTGTTCTGTAACTTTGTGCATACACATGTTGATAAATTCTGTGAAAAAGAAAGAATTCCACCACTGTGGTGTTGTAGAGAGGAGCTCCTTTGTGTAGAGAGTGATAATTAAGTGGGATTTCACTGGGAGGAAAAGTGGCCTTTCCTGAATTACAGGCCACCTACTTATACTGGGCGTAAGCTGTCTTAGTGTGTACATTTTGAACTTTAAGCCATGAAACTTTTTATATTAAATTGACTCCTGCCATTAATTTCTTGCCCAACCATGCATGGAGCTGAGAAAAGGTTGGTTTCTTAGCGCTGTTGCTAAACAGCACCATGCTCCAGTGAATGACAGGAGCCAGTAGACCTGCAACAGGGACTCTACTGAGTTCTCCTAGTGTGACCGTTTTCCTCCGTTCGGCCCCTAGTCATCAGCAGGGACTCTACTGAGTTCTTCCATGCTGCCAACTAGTCTTCTTTGGAAATCATTTTTTGTTTTTCTTGTAGTATACAGATAGATTTTTGTGTTTTGTTTATTTTCCTCTTAGAACCATGTAGTGTGAGCATCGTCTGTGTGCTTTGCTATCTTAAGAAAAATTCCACGTAGCGCCTGCTTTGATCCAGTGCCAGATTGTTTTACTTATGTATTCTTCTTGGTTTTATTGTTATAACCTATAGTATCTTTGCATTTATCCCTTTTCTTCCTCCGGGATAATTGGCTTTAGGATAGTTGCTTAGTAGGAGATGCTTTTGAGATTTTAAATTTAGATGTATGGCATTTTGGGAGATTTGGGGATATAATGCTGTGACAAAATAGTTGAGGGGGAAGTTAACTAGGAACCCTTCTTTAGATAGCCTTCTCAAGAGCCTGCCAATGTTTTCTCCTTATTAGAGAGGAGACACAGTATATCCTGAAGCGTGGGCCTTTGGGGCGTGGGAATTGAGGAACAGCCAAGCATCGAATGTATGCTCTTCCCATGACTGAAGCACGGGCTCCCTCAGTGATGGGTCATAAGCACGCTTTCTTGTAGGTTCCCAAAGGTGGTGTAACTGAGATCTCAGCTGCAGACAAAGCCGAGGAATTTCGAAGGTGAGTATTTGTGGAGAAGACCCGTGCCATGTGTTGGATGAGCACCGTGAAAGCCTTGAGTGACCCTGCTCTGTGTCTGCTCCAGGCAACAGGCTGACTTTGTGGACCTGAGCTTCCCAACCATCTCCAGTACGGGACCCAACGGCGCCATCATTCACTATGCGTAAGGCATGCAGACGGGCAGGAGCACAGGCCTGAGCAGGGGAAGCTCGTGCCCACCGCTGTGTCTGGAGGCTGAAGGAGGGGAGATAAGATCCCAGAGGCCGTGTTTCCCGAGTCCTCAAGCCTCTGCCTTTTCGGGTTTCCTCTTACTTGTTTGCTGTTATTGTTAACAGTCTGAGATAGGTTCTCACCCTATAGCTCAGGCTGGTCTGGAACTTTTACATAGTCTAGGCTGCCCTCCACCTCATGGTGATCCTCCTGCATCAGCTTGAGATGACAGGGATGAGCTACCACACCTAACCAGATTTCCATTCTGAGGCTCAGAAATCGTCTCTATATAACCCTTGTATTTTGACTGAATTCTTGAGCTTCTTTTCTGGTAACAGCAGGCTTCTTGATGTTCTTGTCTATCGTGTGTGAGCAGCACAGCCAACGCCCAGAGTGCACTGCTAACTGTGCGGCCAGCCTGTTGTGGGTCGTGAGATGCTGGGGAGCAGAGCCATCTTTCCCTGACTCTGCCCTTGAAGCCAACATCCCAGGCTCGTTTTCTTTTTCTCTTTCTTTCTTCTTTCTTTCTTTCTTTCTTTCTTTCTTTCTTTCTTTCTTTCTTTCTTTCTTTTTTTTTGCCTTTCCCCTCTAGCATATGATCTGTGAGAGTCCATGGACCCACAGAGCTGAGCCTCTCTGACCTCTTGAGACAGGGGCATTGCTGTACTCCGGATCTGGGCCCTACTGGTGATGTAGGAAATGTACTTAGGTGTGGACATCAGCTTACCCAGCTCAGTGCTTTCGCTCTGTGTAGGGCATTTGGCACCCGTTCTCCTCTGTCTTCATGTGCAGTAAAGGAAGGGCTCTCAGTCTGGCTCTGGGCTCTAGCTGGGTTAGACTCTTCTCCCTTTTAAATGATTGCTTTTAGAGCCGTTAGTCTTGGGATAGAGGTGAAAGCTGTGTGTGGGAGATCCTCGCAGATGTGACGACCACTCTCTCACCAAACATTCCAGCTCCAGCTCCAGATACCAAAGGGATTTCACTTTGACTGAAATGATGAATTTCATGGTGGATTCCCCCCCCCCCCCATATGATTAGAGCAATACAAATTTCAAAACCATTTGCTCCTATTCCAGTGTTCCTTCATTATAGGCTGTTAGATGTCTGCCTAGAGACTGGGCTGGTGTCTGCTTATCTTGTTATTGCTGGAAAGGGATTGGTGCTGCCTGCAGAGTGGGAGCCCAGAATGCTGTCTTCTCTTTGGACGTTTCCCAGCACGGTGGTCCTGTCTGGGTCACTTTTCACAAAGAACCTCCTGATCTTTGAAGAGTGTAGAAGTTTCCCCACCCGCTCCTTTCCCCTCAGGGGAAGGTAGGGTCTCTTGGCAAAGAGATTCCTGGGCAGGGTATGGAGTCCTAAGAGTAGTGAGCCCCTCATGGACCTCGGCTCTTGCTTCCCATCCCTGGAACCCAAGCTTAAACTCATTGCTTCCTCTGTCAGGTTTTGTATGTTGTCTGTTTTTATGTTGTACAGGGCCCCACTGTAGCTCAGACTTGTCTTAATTTATAGTTCTCCTGCCTCAACCTTCTGAGGATCGCAGCCACATGGGTTCTATTGCTTGTTCTTTTAAAGTCATCTCTCACTTATTGTTCTAGACATAAGTACAACTGTTTCTTCTTCTGTTCCTCTTTAAACACAAAAAAAAGAGAAAAAAGAAAAAGAGTAGCTTACAATGTTCATACCCTCTCAGATTTACCAAGTGATTATGTTTTGGAATAACTAATTTTTTGATTATTAGGCCTGTTCCTGAGACAAACAGGACCCTGTCCCTGGATGAGGTGTACCTCATTGACTCGGGTGCTCAATACAAGTAAGTAAAACAAGGCTGCTGTCAAACTTGAGACTCAGTTCCTCAGTTCAAGGCCAGATTTTGAGGAGGTGGACAAGCTGTGCTCTGGCTGAGCGCACCCAGCTGCTCCCCATCCCTTGACGGTTACTGATGGATGGGTTCTGTCGTGTTTCTTTGTTTTGTGACCTCTCATTGAGAAAGCCCAGTTGTGGCTGTTTCTATGAAGGATGGTTATACTATGCAGTCCTTGGCTATGACTTGGTAGATTATGAAATCAGCACATGGACTAACATGAGCCTTGGGAGCGATTGTGGAGTTTTCTGCTCCACTCCAGAGAGCGGCCTGCTAGATCCTGCTCGGAGCAGCCTTGGAAGGGCCCGAGGAAGGAAGGCTAATTCTGAATGTAAGACTGTGAAAAGGGGACCTGCCCCTCCAACTCTAAACTTGTCTGGCCACCTTTACAGCCATCCTCTTCAGCATTTTTTCTTTTTCCCAGAAGAAAGCTGAACTTTGCTCGCATATCATTGCTGAAACCCAAGAGAGAGCACCAGAGTAGACACTGTACTGTGTGCTTAGAAAGGCCTTTCCCCACCGCAGCTACAAGCCAGTTCCGGGGGACTGCGACTGGTCTTGGGATATGTTGGGATCCTTTGGTCATGGCAGAAATTCCTATCTTTTCTGAATTTTATGGGAAGATTCTGGAAATTATGTTTTTGGTGTGATTAATGTGAGCTAGTGTGTGCTAAGAGATGCCTCTGGGCAGTTTTAGGGTCTCGGTTCAATAATCCCTTCGCTCTCCAGTAGCAGGAAATGGATTTTGGCTTTCTTGCTACAAGCGTCTGTGTACTTGGTCTCTTCCCTCTTTGTCATAACCCGGTGATGGCTGTCTCATGGAGTGCCTCACTGTGACCAAGAATAATGTCTGTCAGGGCTCATTTGCTTCCTACTCTAGCAAGCCAATTTTGCCTTCACACTTTGTCTTATTTTTTATAACAATTTTATTGAGATGTAATTCACCCACTCAAAGTATAACCTCAGCTTTTTATGTATCTGTAAGGTTGTTCAGCCATTGTGCAGACAACCCGTGTATGAGTGTTTGTACAGGCACACCTTTCTGGTTCTCCTGTGGTATGTCTAGGAGTTGGGCTGTGACTCAGATGGTGCCTGCTTAGCCTTTCAGGCTGAGTGGTTTTCCAAGGTGGGTTTTTCCTGTGCTGTTCTTGCCAGTGCTGTGTGTGGTTTCTCCATGTGCCCATCTGTTTCACGGTTGATAAAAGCTTGCTTTGACTGAAAAAACTTTCTTTTTCCTTCTACTTTTGAAAGGGACGGAACCACAGATGTGACCCGGACCATGCACTTTGGGACCCCTACGGCCTACGAGAAGGTAGGCGATGTGAAGGAGAAGCTCCAGGCCTCCGCCTTCCTAAAAACATAGCATTTACCAAAGGGGCTGCATAAATAAATGAAAATTATAAGTGGGTAGTGAAGTGCTCATATTTGTGGAGTCAGGCTTATTGGCTTTATGAGAACTGTGTAATTAATTATTGGCGGGTAAGACATTTGGAGGGAATTTAAAAGCATGCTGCTAAGGTCAAAGCAGTCAAGTTCAGCTTCAGACAGCTCTGGCCTTCTCTTCCGGCGGAGGGGTGTCAGCAGTGATTGGATTCCGAAAGCCCCCCCTTATTTTCTCAAGGTCAGCATTCCTGTTTACAGCTCCCCTCTCAAGGGCTTTGTGCAACGGTGGACACGGTTCCGTTTCTGCTTTGACCGGTTAGGAAGGCAGCATAGAACTGAGGTGGAGAGGTCCCTGCCAGGGCTCTGGACGCTGCTTGGACCTGCTGTGTCAGATGCTTCAGGGGAAGGCCAGGTCTTTCTCCTGCCGCTTTAAGTTTGATTTTATGATTTTTCTGGCAAATTGGTCTGAGACTGGGCCGTTAAGGTGGTGTTTTTGTTTTTGAAATCATTTTGATGGTCTCTGTAGTATTGCTAGACACTAGCAGGCAAGGGGTTCTGAAGAGCTGGAGGACTTGCAGGGTTTCAACCTGTCTCCTGTAGCTACCTTCTGGGGCTTCAGTTTTTTTTTCTCTCTCTGGTAGGAATGCTTCACATATGTCCTCAAAGGTCACATAGCTGTGAGCGCGGCTGTTTTCCCCACGGGAACCAAAGGTAGGTGGTTTGTTCTCTGACACAGCAGGTGCAGGACTCATACATGTCTAAATTTGGGTGGAGAAAAATGTATCCTTCATTTTGTTTTGTTAGTGCAGTTCTGGCCCAGCTAGGATATACAGGATACTACATGGAGTGAGTGCCCCTGCCCCCCGTCCCCGTCCCCAAGAGCCAGGCTTACGGTGATTCCCATGTCACTTCTGACCAGTAACAGAAGCAGTTGACACCTGGGGGCAAGCCGGGCACAGAGGCCTCAGGGTTGGTGTGGGGAGCCTCCTATCTGTCTTCAGCTTGGGGCCATCACCTCCTTTGATGGCCCTTCTTGGATTTATGTTGCTAAGATGCTGACTTGAGGTGTATTCTGCTCTAGTTACTGGTGGGTGGGGCCTTGGACTGCAGTTGCAGGACTCAGACCTAGACTCTGGCGGGTGGGCATGCACTTCTCCACCTCCCTTAGACTTGTTCTTCTCACTGTTAATGCCTGCCATGCTTGTAGTCTGGGAAGACTCTCGTGTCTGTAATTCTGACACCCTGAGCTCCCAGAAAGGATTGGCCACGTCACCATTGCAGCCTTAACCTATAAGAAGGTGTCCATCCCCCAAGCTGCTGGTGCAAATGATCCTCTGGCTTTGGACTGAGCTCTGACTGGCTTGTCAGTATTTTCTGTTGTTAGGAAGTTCTTCCTTGTGCTGAGCTTAAACCTGAACTCTTCAGTAACTTTTGGTTTCTGTTTCACCTTCTTGAAGTCAAACATAGTACATCTAATCTCTAAAGTGCTTTGCGAATATCAGGTGACTCTTTGTCTTCCAGGTCACCTGCTAGACTCCTTTGCCCGGTCAGCTCTGTGGGACTCTGGCCTGGATTACCTGCATGGGACAGGACACGGTGTTGGGTCATTTTTGAACGTTCACGAGGGTCCTTGTGGCATTAGTTATAAAACATTCTCCGATGAGCCCTTGGAAGCCGGCATGATTGTCACTGATGGTAGGTGCCCCTCGTGCACAGGGCATATGCTTTTCAGTTATTTTAAAGAAAATTGGTAATAGGTTCCCCTTAGCCCCCCACCCCAGATCATCTTGAATTGATACAGTCTTTTTCAATTATCAGAGTAATTTAGGTTCATTTTAGAAAGATTGAGGTCTGGATAAGAATTTAAGAAATATGGTCTTTTATAGGTGTAGACATTTTGTTTGCCTTCAAGGTCATACTGGATCTGCCCTATTCTGCTATCTATTTCCCAGTGTTTGTAAAGCGAACTCAGGGCTGCATCACTGTGTCCTGTGGATACACAGTGTGTGTCTTGTAGCAGATCCCCATTATTGTGCTCTGTCTGTGGTCACAGTTCAGGACTTGAGAACCCGTCTACTTGTACCTAAATGCCTGTAGGATGGGGCTAAGCCGGAGAAGATGGATGGGATGGGCCCTTCCCCCTCTTTCCTTCAGAGTGGATGGGGTAGGCCCCTTCCCCCTCTCTCCTTCAGTGTGCTGGGGTGGGTCCTTCCCCTGTGGACTGCCTCTCACTGAGTTGTTTGTTCTAGAGCCAGGGTATTATGAAGATGGGGCTTTCGGGATCCGCATTGAGAATGTTGTTCTTGTGGTTCCCGTGAAGACCAAGGTGGGTGTTCATTTATTTGCTTAAAGATTTCCTGCTCTTATTGTGGGGAGATGAATATTTTTGTCTTTGGAACCAAAAATGTACCATAATTGGTCCAAAATGGAGTTTCCTTTCACCTAGACCAGGGGATTTACTGGAAGCTTCTCTCCCCTGTAAAACCTGAAGGGGGCAGAGGCTGTAGCTCAGCAGCAGAGCCCTGGTTAGGCACAAACGAGGTCCTAAGTCCACAGCACTGTCAAAGAATAATAATAAAAAATCATAGTGAATGGGTGTGGGTAGAGGCCCCTGCCACCAAGCCTGGCAACCTGGAGTTTGATCCCTGGGACCCACATGGTAGGGAGTTGTCTTCTTATTCACACAGACACAGAATTGGAAAAAAAAAAGCTTATAAATAGGATAACATAGGTTACACAGCTAGCTTGTTTGGATGGTTTATATCCCAGTAGAGTCTCAAGAACCCAAACCAGAGATTTCCCAAGTCCAGACACTGTCCTGTCCTGTCCCTGCCTTCCCATCATAACATATAGTAGCTTTATGGGCCTGTCGAGCGGGAGCGCTCAGTACCACTGTTTGAAACTCAGAGATGCGCCCACGGGCGGTGGCAAGTGGTGTTATCTGCACTGCATGTCTTGTGTGAAGGTGGTGCCCTGGTGTTTGGTGATCAGCTCCCATGAACACATTTCTCTGAGGGGCGCCGGGCTTGGTGGGGGAAGCCCAGCCATTCACTGCGCTAAGGGGAGTGTAACCTGCTGTTTCCTCTCTCGTCCTACAGTATAATTTCAATAACCGAGGAAGCCTGACCTTTGAACCTCTAACTTTGGTTCCCATCCAGACCAAAATGATAGATGTGGATTCTCTTACTGATAAAGAGGTAATGGGGCATCTTGGGGTGCAAGTTTAGGGGAAATGTTAGTAGGAGGGATGGAGACTGTCCCCTGCTCTGTTTTCCATGGTACCATTTAGAGGTCAGGTACGTGTCAAGTCCCGCCGCCGGGCTAGTAGCTGGTGTGTGCTGGGCTCTTAGCAGAGGTAGTCCTGCTCCACAGACTGTGGGGCCCTAGTGCTCATGGGTAGGCAGAGTGGGCTGTAGAAGGAGCTGCAGGCAGGCCTGCTTTTCGTCCCACCCAGCTCCCGCAAGGCTAGCTTAGCCCCGGAAATAATAACACGGAAACTGTATTCTTTTAAACACTGCCTGGACCATTAGCTCTAGCCTCCCCAGTGCTAGAGCTAACTCTCATACCTTGATTAACCCATTTCTAATAATCTGTGTAGCACCACAAGGTGGTGGCTTACTGGGGAAGATTCAGCATGTCTGACCTGGTGGCTGGCTCCATGGCGTCTGACCCACTGAGGAGAAGCATGGCAATTGCCTCACTTCCCTCTTCCTCCCAGCATGCTGTTCTGTCTACTCCACCCACCTAAGGGCTGGCCTATCAATGGCCAAGACAGTTTCTTTATTAACCAGTGAAATCAACACAAAACAGAAGACCCTCCCACAGCAGTGGGCTGTTGCTGTTCACGAGAGAAAGCTCCACTCGTCCTGCTTAGGTACACTGAGGCAGGGTACCAGCTACTTTTGTGTCCTCAAGAAAAGACAGAAAACAGCTTTTGGAAAAGGTTTGCTTTGGCTCAGTTTCAGGAGATTCAGGTCATCCTGTGGGGAGGGCATAGAGGAGTGGCTATGAGTGTGAGGAGCAGAGGCAGACTTCATGATGGCGGGAATGCGTAGCAGAGGAGTGGACCAGGAAGCCGTGAGAAAGACTAGACCCAGGGACCAGCCCATGACTTTTGAAGACCTGCCCGTAATGACCTGCTCCTGCCATCTGAGAGCAATGCCACGTACTGGGGAACAGTCAAAGCAGGAGCCTGGAAGGGCAGAAACAATTAGCCAGTCAGAAGCAAACAGGTTTTCATCCAGGAAGTTGGGGAGCAGGACATAAACTCCATGGCAAGGTGGAAGTCCCAGCGAAAATCAGGTGACAGATGGGGACATGAGTCAGGAAAAGCACGAAAAGTCGCTGCAGGAATACGACGGTTGGTTCCTGAGAGAAGCCCCCGACCCCTCCCCAGGGCACCGGTGCCCTTCTGGACAGACGCAGGGCAGCTCTTGAGTGGGGTCTGCTTGGGCATCCTCGGCACTGAAGAGGAGGGAGCCTGAGGGCTGAGGTGCTCGCTCTCCAGGGAGGCTGTAGAGTGGGGCTCACCCAGCTAAAAAATCTGTTTTTCATTTAACATGTGTGTTACTGAGGAAGTTCATCCGCTTCCTGTTTAGCTTAACTTTCCTGTGTGCTTGGGCTCCTCTCTCTGATCATGGTGCCTTTGATTCAGCTAGCACTTGTGTTTACAGAACACTGAAGGGGCCTGGCAATCCTGATTTATTCAGACTGCAGCTAGATTTAGAACAGGATACTCAGCTAAACAGCAGCCTGTCGTCCTGTGCTCTTCAGTGGGAAGAGCCCTTCTGCAGCTCAGGAGCCCTAGCTCCCCAGGGAAGCGGTGGGAGCAAGGGAGCATGAGCTCGCAGTGGCCTGAGAGCGCCTGCTTAGAAGCTTTGTGTCCTGTAGGGACCGTGGTTCTTGTAGCATCCTTTGGCTACGCTTCCGCGGCCTTATTAAGGGACTCTTGAAGCCCAAGGCTTTAGTTTATGACCAGGTACGTAGGTTGCACAGTTGCGACCACGTGTGACAAGTATTTGCCCCAGGTGATGCTCCACTTTATCCAGGGAAGTAGTGGATGAGAAAAAGTTAAGCAATGCTGTTTTTTCCGAAAGAGTTTTACTAATAAGACTCACAACCCACTTCGTGACACTGGACACAGATTACTGGGATCTACCATGTTCAGTGACTATTTATACACCTTGCCTGGCCAAATCACTGCAGGATTATTGTGGACAATAATTATTGAGGACAGCTACCCTTTCTTTGGGTCCTAAGCACGTTTCCGTGGATATAGCCAACAGTGTTTGTCATAGCGGGCAGAGGATTGTCTCACTATTTTAGCAAAAGCCCCTTTCTTATATAGCATCTCACAGGCTAGGACACCATTTTTTCTGAAGAAATGGTAATAGCTCAAAGCAAGGTTTGTCCTTTGTGCTTTTAAAATACCTGCTCATTGTACTTTGGTATCAGCCTGCCCTTGACTGTCCTTTAGGGGTTCTTCGGAGTAGGTCTACCTTTTTTCACCAGATGGCAGCAGAGGACCATAATCTGATGTGAATTTGGTCACCTGCAGATGGCAGGGCCATGGGGTATTGCCCAGGTCCTGTTGAGTCAGTTTGCATTGTCTTGTCTCTCTCGTCCCTCAACCAAAAGGGCTCTGGAGTGTTCCTTTGTCCCCAAGGTTATAACAGGCCACCTCCTTCACTACTGAGCTGATCCACTGCCGGCCTATAGCTCTTGGACTTTGCTGCAAATGCAGACACCCTCACTACTGCTTCCCCAGCTTGTGGCAGGGCTGGTTTGCTTTTATCAGTGGGCATTATGGCCCCGGCTCTTGAGAGCCTGTTGACAACAGTACCCTATCTGTTCCCTTTGGTTTATATGTCCACCTTGGTCTCTCAGGCAGGTTTTGGTACCTGCTTCAGACTATTCCTGGAAGCCAGCTCCTTTGTTGTAATAACACAGCCTCCCTGAACATCATGTTTCTCATTTGCTGCAGCCAGACCAAAGGCAGTGTTAGCCTCACGAGCCTTGGTCCAGTTAGGTGTATGGTCCACTCTGTCCTGTGGACATTGTCCTCACTTCCTTTATTTCCTTTTCCTTTTCCCACCAGTCCCAGCAGAGGGGGTTTCACCCTTTGTGCCTGCCACGGACCTTCTGATACAGGTCCGGAGGTAGCAGTTTCCCGGCACCAAGTTCTGTCAGCATCTACTCTTTAATCCTTTAAAAAAAAAGTTTGTCTATGGTGGCATTTTGTACAGGGGCTGAAAGTAAAGCAAAGTGTGTTTCCAGCTCCGCTCTGAAGAACCATCGTCCTTGACCACCAAAGGCTTTGTATCCTCTAGACACTGCAGACCAGAGCCACCTGGGCTTAGCTGATGCTTACTTGTTTAGCATTGGAGGGTGTAGGACAGGAAGCTGAGGAGCATCTGGTCTCGGCAGGCATCTTTACAGTTGTCTGTCAGTACCCTGAAGTAGGTCAGGGTTAAGTCTGCATGGCTTGGTAAGGAGCTTCTAGCTCAGTGACGCGATTCCATCCCTTGTGAGCATCTGTGGACATGGCTTCTAGCTCAGTGACGCGATCCCATCCCACGTGAGCATCTGTGGACATGGCTTCCAGGTGTCCTGACAAGGGGAAGCCCCAGTTATGCATCGCTCTGCCAAGCCCAGTACCTTGGCTCGCCGCCAGGTTATTTTTGGTTCCCTCACAGTCATTGCTAGTTCAAGCTGGCACACTACACTCTTGAGGGATCATTTCACCAGAAGCAATGCAGCCCGTCTGTTCCTGGGGAAGCAGATGGACATGGGGAATTTAGGAGCAAAAGGACAAGGTTTTGTGTCTCTCCTCTCAGCTGTGACCATAGCACCTAGGCCTGTTGGCCTATGTAGCTTCTTAGTGACAGTGTGGTGTCCTTCTTCTTCCCCGCAGTGTGACTGGCTCAACAGTTACCACCAGACCTGCAGGGATGTGATCGGGAAGGAGCTGCAGATGCAGGGCCGCCAGGAAGCTCTCGAGTGGCTCCTCAGAGAGACAGAGCCTATCTCCAAGCAGCACTGAGACCGCTCTGCAGTTGTGTCGAGGATGCTCTGGGGGAAGGAGGAAACACGGCGGACCCTGACTTCTTTCTCCTTACCTCTTCCTCCCGACTCCCCCTTTTACTTTTAGACACTAAGAAGAACTGAAACTCTTCTTACCCACTTTGATATTTTCTTGCAAACAGTCTTTTATGAATTTTTAATTGTTGAGAATGAGCCAAGAATAAAATTGCTACACCAGAAGGAGGGGCCCTACAAAGCTGAAGACTTGACAAGGGGGAGGCACCCGAACCCCTGGCCAGTGGTGGTGAACACTGAGTGCTCCATGATGGTCTCGCTCCAGGTGCTAGTATTTCAGTCATGGTCACCTTGATGTTCTTGAGACCCTCTTCCGGTCAGTGAATAAAAACATCTAAACTCTGCTTGGTTTTGTCCGTCTTTCCCCAAGGTGCTTCTCCCAGTAAGTCAGGCAAGCTGATTTCCACAGCTGCTGGTCAAGATAAACTCACAGACCCACACTCCACAAAAACACCAAAATGAAAATCAAACAAGCAAAAGATCAATAAGTCAAAAAATGCCCAAACAAGGAACAAGACACTGAAAGTCTGCAGAATGCCATTGAGTTCACTTTTGTGGGTCTGTGATTTAGGCCTTGGGCAATCTGCAGAACGCCATTGAGTTCACTTTGTGTTGGCCAGTGACTCAGGGCATGGGGCCTGCCCTGAGCTGTGGCTACTGTACTCAGGGAGACTTTGGTGGAGAAAGTGGATTTTCCCTTTCCCAGTGGGTATCAGTGGCAGATAGCTTCGTGGTTAGGGGTGGGGTCTCATGTCCACTTCCTGTTTTGGTGCTGAGACTTCATCTGGCTTGACCTTGTGCAAGCCCTCTGCGTGCTGCTCTAGTATCCGAGTTCATGTGTGCAACAGACTAATAGTTTAACACAGTCTTCTCACATAGAAAAACATGAAGTCAGCCGTTGCAGACCATTGTTGGAGAAACACCAACTTTTACTGTTGCCCGTGATCTTCGCCGACTCCTTCGGTTTCTTACGTGGCAATCCGGTTTCTGTCTTGTGGCTCATTTTATCTGAAGGACCCCTTCAGCTTTCTTGCCAGGTTGGTGTAGTCTCTCTTTAAACCTGCGACTCTCTTAATTTCTCCCCTACTTCTCAGGAACAGCTTTGCTTGATAGACGTTTCATGGTTGACTCATTTTTTGTTTAGCGTCTAGGATATGGCGGCCTACAGCCTTCCGGCTTTGAAAGTTTCTCGTGAGAAATGGATGGACAGCTAATCTTAGGAAGGTTCCTCACAGCTGATAGGTCAGCTTTCCACCGATTTCAGGTATTTTTGGAAGATTAGCTTTGGGAAGTTACTAATGATGTGTCATAGTGAGAGTCTCTGAGTTAATTTTACTGAACTTAATAATTGACTTAGACTATAATAATAACCTTAGATTTATATTTATGTATTTTGTCAATACAAATAGACGCCACTTTTTCAGATATCCCCTCCACTTCTGTTGTCTGGGATGGAGCAGTGTGTCTGTTGGTCTGTTCTAGGGTGTCCTGTAGGTTTCTCTTTCTGTCCCTCAGACTCATAATTCCCACAGTTCCGTTATTTTGCTTTCTGCTTACTCAAATACACCTTTGAGTCCTACCTGTCAAGTTTCATTTGGCTACTGTAATTTTCAGCTGTGGAATTTTTTTAGGTTGCTGTCTGCATTTTGTCCACACATGCTCTTGACCTTCCATGCGCTCCCCTCAGCTCTCCTGGCGTCTTAAGGCGCTTAGTTTAAGGGCATCTTGCAGGTCTGCCACCAGGCGTTTTTGTTCAGGTTTGTTAGTCCATGCAGTTTTTTTTTTCCCTTTGAAAGTATCCCACTTTCTGTTCTCTTTGAGTCCTGTGACCCTTTTGTTTATAAGTTAAGACTCTTCCTTGGGGTGGCCTTTTTTTGTTATTGCTGATTACTGTTTACCTTTGTAGCAGGCTTTAGGCCAAGGACCAGCTTGGAACAAACCTACCAGTCTGTTCTGAAGGAACCGGAGCTTTTCCTGGGCATATGAAATTGCTTTCATATTTTCCCCATAGTGCTGCTGTTTTCCAATCTGCTTTTGAGACAAATGTATTTCTATCATTTCAAAATTTCTCACATGTATATCATGTGTTTTGATATTTACGCTGTGATATTCCCTGCAAGGTCTCCCAGATTCCACCCCCCCTCCCAGGGTTTTAGTTTTTAGTGGATGGTTCCCAAAGGGAAAAGGAAAAACAAAGAAAAAACATTAATGGATCTTCAAATCTCAGAAATTACTTTGAAGGAGGCGGTCTTTCAACTCTTCAGGGAAATGTGACACAGCTGTCCACCTCTGCACTTTTGTTCAGAGGCAGCAATTATTACCCATCAGAGCACACCTTCATCTAATCCAAAGTCTATTTGCACACTGAAGCTCCCCCAGCCTCTGCAGTTTGCTCTGGGAACATACATGCACAGCTGTCTGACAATGGGGAGAGTCATTGGTGCATGAGACAGGTCGGGCCGGTAACCTCTGCAGTTTGCTCTGGGAACATACATGCACCGCTGTCTGACAATGGGGCGAGTCATTGGTGCATGAGACAGGTCGGGCCGGTAACCTCTGCAGTTTGCTCTGGGAACATACATGCACAGCTGTCTGACAATGGGGAGAGTCATTGGTGCATGAGACAGGTCGGGCCGGTAGCCGCTGCAGGGCAAAAGGCTGAAATTGGCCAAAATTAACCTCAGTTTGCTGTCAAGCCCTCTGCAGGTCCCAAGCCTTCAGCTGACTTTGTAGTTCCCAAGTGGTCATGTCAGGTCCCACCCGTGTAGGTGTTGTGTAGGTGAGGTGACTCTAACTTTGCCACTGTCCCACAACTCTCGGGACTAAACCGTACCTTTCGTCTGAATGGCTTTGACAGATGAACAAATGTAAGCATACTTGCTGTTCATCAAAGCATGGCTGACAGTGTCCGTTATTTTTGCCAACTCGGGGAGTGGAAAATAAAAGAACTAATTGATATTACCATTAGAAGCAAGGCGGTATTGAGGGCAAGTTTTACTAGAAGCGTGAGCCCAGATCCACAGAGTACTGACATGCTTGCCAGCATGGCCTGCTTTCTTTTAGATTCCAACCTGCCATGTGGCGGGAACAAGATCTGCTCCTCGGGATATTTTTGTAACAGGATCAGAAAAGCAGAGAAGTGGTGCTTGCCAACCAACAGCAGGATACGTTTTGATCCCCCGAAGAGTTCTTGACTGTCTCCCTCATACCTGATCATATTTCTAATATGTACCGTAAAGTGAGGCTTAGAGGAAAAGTCTCTTCCTGAAGGATGGAACGGATTAGGCGTGTTTCTCATCCGTCATCCCTCCGGAAGGCAGAAGGCATCCCCTTAGGACTCTGTCTGTCATCTCCTGATATCCCGAAAGCTTCCTTGTCTGTAGAAATGGGAACCGTGAGTCACAGCTGATTCAGTTTAAACAGACCATAGCTCAAGTGTGACGGCAGCTCCACCGTTCCCTCGTCAGCCTCTTCAGCCTGCCGCTTCCCGAGGCTGCCTCGGAGCAGTTGGGCTTAATTGGCTCCAGCCAAGCCGACAGGTGTCAGGGCCTGAAGCCTCGGCCCGGGCTGTACTGGCTTAGCATTAAGCCTCTGAGACCTAAACTAGGTGAGACAGCTCCATAAAGACAGAACCGGATCCAGCTCGAAGTGTGCCAGGGCTCGAGGGAAGAGATGAGAGGAAACGGCAGAACCAAAGATCTGTTTAAATAGTGATAGACACCGAGTGAGAACTCCACTCCATGGCTGCGACACTAGAACTCCAGGGGACCCAGCCCCAGTGCTGTTCTGCCTGCTCTGTCCCCTGGATCCAGGAATGGTGCAGATGCACGGCCTCTGCATCGGACACCCCAGGGGCTGGCTTCCGGGTGCTTTTCAGTCTCTGGTGCTTCAGGGATGCTGGCTCCTGGGAGACAGCCCGCCCCCTCCCCAAGATCTCTAGACTAGGAGGTCGGCTAGTATCTACTGCCAACTAACAACCTTCAGTGGTTTCTCGTCCCACCAACTCTGGATTGTGTTAGTGATTTGGAGGCAGACCCACGACTACTGACCAGCTACGGTGGTTTCTGGGTGGCTGGGTGTTTATACCGCTGATGACCTAGAAGCTTAGCGTAAAGTATCTTGTGTTTCTCAGTGTTCTAAGCACTTCCTTTCTGGGGAGATTAGTAGTGGTTCTGGAGGGCCTCAAGGAGAAAGCACCTGTAGATCACGTTGCCGCATAGTAAAGCTTTGTGTCACCCCGTCTTTCAGCCCAACCTGAGACATTTACAAGAATCTCACCGCAGCATTGCTGAGATGCAATTCACGTACTGTGCCATCCACCTATTGACCAATACAGTAGTGCTTGCTTGGCGTCCTCAGATGTCAAAGGTTTTCACCCGGCACCATCGCGAGTGTAAAATACGTCCTGATTATTGACATGCGAAACAAACATAGAGACTCTCATAATGGAGCATCCGACTATGCCCTTCTGGGTGCTCTGACCTGGCGTTAAGTTCTGTAGTGAGTCTCGTTGGGAAGAGGTGCGTCTGGCTCTTACCACCGCCATGCTCCCTGGTCCCAGGCGGGGCGGTGGAGGACGCACTTTTCTCAACAAGAGAAGAAGAGAAAAAGCAGGGAAAACCAAAGGGAATAGACAGGGTTTTCCCACAACAGCCGGTAGACCTCCAGGGCTCAGGATACCATCCCAAGAGACAGGCACTGGGAATTTCCAGGACATCCCATGGCATCCCAGGCCCACCTTCCTGTTTTGCCAGCAGGTGGCAGTGTGGTTCTTTGCAGCGAGCAGAGACCACTAGCCTGCCTGGAAAGAGGTGAATTACAGATACTCAGTGGGACCCCGGGAAGACCCCCAGGAAATCTCTGACACTGGGGCTGCCACATGGCTGCCACTCAGTGTCCCTCGAGAGCTCATTGTGCGCAGCCCGTGACTGTAGGCGGGTTGAGAGGAAGAGTTCGTTTAATAAGCTGGACGGAAGTGCCGGCTCAGAAGGGCCTTTCAGCGAGTGTGACGGAACCCAGCTGCGACCGCGTTGGGCCTCATGGTGTGTCAGCTGTAGCACAGAGCTTATGATGTAAATCG